GATCCAGCTCACCACCAGGTGGTGATCAGTTGACAGCTCCGCCCCTCTCTTCACCCGAGTGTCCAAGACATACGGCCGGAGGTCAGATGAAACAACCACAAAGTCGATCATCGACATCCGGCCTAGGGTGTCCTGGTGCCATGTGCACTGATGGACACCCTTATGCTTGAACATGGTGTTCGTTATGGAGAAACTGTGGCTAGCACAATAGTCCAATAACAAAACACCGGTTCTGTTCATTATTTTTATGGACAGATTTTCTAGGCACAGCCAGGGGCCGGAGGGAGTCCAGTTTGGGGACCACAGGATCTCGTCTCTGCTTTTTGCAGACGACGTTGTCCGGTTGGCTCCATCAAACCAGGACCTCCAGCATGCACTGGGGTGGTTTGCAGCCGAGTGTGAAGCGGCTGGGATGAGAATCAGCACCTCCAAATCCGAGGCCATGGTTCTCAGTCGGAAAAGGGTGGCTTGTTCCCTTCAGGTTGGTGGGGAGTTCCTGCCTCAAGTGGAGGAGTTCAAGTATCATGGGGTCTTGTTCACGAGTGAGGGAAGGATGGAACGGGAGATTGACAGGCGGATCGGTGCAGCTTCTGCAGTATTGCGGTCGATGTACCGGTCCGTCGTGGTGAAGAAGGAGCTGAGCTGTAAGGCGAAGCTCTTGATTTACTGGTCGATCTACGTTCCGACTCTCACCTAGGGTCATGAGCTTTGGGTCATGACCATAGGTGAGAGGTGACTTTACTTCGGAGAATCTGCTGGGAAAGGGTTTGTCAAAGAAACTTTATGATTGTCTAATTAAGTACTTAAAAGACACTGGGATTGTACAGACAATTTAGGTATAATAATTTTTCTTTATTTTTAATTAATCGTTATTGGTTTTTGTTTGTTTTTGTTTTTAAAACTGCTAATCTTATAATCCGCAATCCAGTAGGTAGCAGTAATGCGCCTGAAAGCTCGTTTGTCATCCGCCATGTAAAACAAGGAAGAAGAAGAAGAAGAAGAAAAAGAAGCTGAAGCTGTACTACTCAGGCATATCCCAATTTCTTGATTTGAAATTAAATTCCTTATTAACATTCATATTCAAAACGTTTGATAAGAACACTGGGATGGGTGTGAAACTGGTAGACATTTGTATAAAGTCCAAAAATTGGTTGGCATGGACTGGTAGTAACTTGCTTGAGAATAGGTCACACAAGTTTAAATTATAACCTGCACAAAATAGGTAAAACCCTACAGGTCTTTGTCCACACTGTAGTCAGATAGAGACTGTAGAGCATGTTCTGTTTATATCCAGTGCATATCATGAGCAATGTGCTCAAATGAAAGTGTTACTGGAAAAAAAGAAGATTACTAATATATCACTAGAGAGTCTTTTGGGCAGCAATTGTAAGACAATACATAGAGTTGTTATTAGTTATTTGGCAGATATAAGTATTTTGGATAGAATTTAGTAGTTTATGCAGTTCTAAGAAATTTTTTAATATGTATTCCTACGGTTCTCTTAGCGTTCCACGCTCCAGCCCAGCAGGTGGCAGTAATGCACCTTAGGTTGGCTTGCAATAAACACCATAGGCAGAAGAAGAAGAAGCTGCTGCACTAGAGGAAGGAAGCAGCAGTGTTGTAGCATTGTGTATTGTAACTTATGTACCACTGTTTTTATCTGGCATACTTGGATAGTAAATTGTATTACCCACAATAATTCTATATTGACGAGCTAGGTGATATGTATCGTAACTCGGTTCACGTTAGTACTCTTAAGAACGCAAGTTAACAGAAGTTTGCTAGCTAACGTTAACTGCAAAAGGTAACGTTACAGATTTAATATTAGCCACTTATGGCCAAGAAATTACTTTATCTAACGTTAAGTGTAAGGTTTAATTTGAAATAACGAGATGTGCATAGAACTGTCGCTTCTTTATAAGTTCAGCAAATAATTCTGGATAGGCAATTATTTGTCTATTTGTCCTATTCTGATTATATCCAGTATTGTTTTTTGTTTTGCCCCAGGTCATGCTATACTCCATTCAGAACACTACAGAAAGTTAGTAATTCTTTGCTTATTTCTATTTAGTGCCTACTTTGTAGAGCGTAGTCCTTTGGGAATCAGTTGTCTTCTGATATACATTATTTTAATGTAATGTTTTATCAGAACTAGAGTTAGGTGCGTTATTTGTGTTTCTTCGGCCATGAATGGAGTATCTATTAATATGAAACTTGTTTCCAGGTTCTTTGGCTATTTGCTTTTGCTGAATTTCTGGTGGACGTACACAATGGATGAAGAATCAGAGCGAGCCAAGCGCTGGGAGGGGGGCTATGAAAGGACATGGTAGACCGTTTAACGATGGAGATTTTCAGCTTGAGATTTGTCTTCTGAGGCAACATAGTGAGATATATGTATTCTCTTACAGGGAGGTGCTGAAGGAGGATGAATCTGGCTCACTCAAAGCCACAGTAGAAGAGCTTCTGTTCCAGTCCAAAAGGAAAAGGTGTGTGTGTTCATGTACAATTTTATTTTGATACAATTGTTGTGAGGACTGAATTTAGGGTTCAGGTTAGAATAAGGGCTAGGTGTTAGGTGTTGAAGGCAAAGTATGAAGTAACAGAAAATAAAAATACTCAAGTAAAGTACAGATACCTCAAAATTGTACTTAAGTACAGTACTTTAGTAAATGTACTTAGTTACTTTCCACCACTGCTGAGAAACCTGATAATGACTGAATGAATAATACTTGTTATTCTTAAGACTCTAAACACATAGTACTGGAATTAAATTTTTAGACACTTCTTTGTTATGGTACAGATGAGACCTGTTCATACTTTAGGTAAATATATATTTTTCTTCTCATGCTCTTCCTTCTAGGAGTAATTTATTTACTGCTATATTGCTTGTAGAATGTTTTTACTTGCTGCTGTTGTATCACAACCCTTTGCTGGTCAGACATAAGAAGAAATAGGCTAATTCTCCAAATGGTTATTGTCACTACAAACTTACCTGCTTCTTTGGTTACTTCATAGGGTGATAGTGAGCCATGGGCAAGTGAGGCTTGGAATGGTGAGTGAGTTTTTCCTTCTTCCTACACAACCTTGCACTTTGCTAATTATCCAGTTCTAAACCTGAAGGTCTCAAAGATCTCATGTCTCATTACATGATCTCATTACACTTTTGATCAACATTATGTATAACATAATTGTTTCTATAGATTAATGTTGACATTGAACTAATTTATATTTTTTTATTTTACAATACAACTATCATGATTATGGCAAAAACAACCCAATTTGAAGACACCATAAGGATGCCAAATCAGTTACCCATTATTGTTTTTACTTTAGTTGTTCACTGTTGAACTGGTCTGTTTGAAGTGCAGAGCACAAGATTTTTATATTAGAACACCCAGTGCTAGCATAACACTATAGTCTGTACAGGGATGAGTGTGTTTTGTTTTTAGGAACATAACACCTCATGTTTACAGTGTAATTTCAATGTTTAAAGATGTCTTGTGCTCTAGATGCGTCACCTCTTTGTGGTCATTGACTGTTCAAGAAGTATGGAAGACCAGGACTTGAAACCAAACCGTCTCACCTCTACTCTAAAGGTAAATTCTGTACTGCATCCATCACAGTGAGCCAGCAGCCATACAGCAGAAGGATCTTTAAAAGCATCATCTCCTTCCTCCATTCCTCCACAGCTGATGGAAGCTTTTATCGATGAGTATTTCGACCAAAACCCCATCAGTCAGGTATGTTTATGCAGTCAAGAGTTCTGTGTATGTTTTACACTGAACTGTATTGTGACTATACATTTAAATTCCTTCAACTCTTGATTAAACACAAGTCACAGGTGAGTTTATTGGAGAAAAATGTGTCTTATTCAAATCAAATTTATTTATATAGCACTTTAAAAACAAGTGATGAACAAGTTGATCAAAGTATTTTACATGGGCAGAATGAGATCACAATGAATAACTAAAATAAAATAAACAGAATCATTATTAATTCCTATATTATTAATGTTATTTTATCCACAATTTTGTATCCATTATGTTTATGTGGGATAAAAGTTAAAATGCTATGAATGCCAGCTAAGATACAGTAGATTTTTACCAACATGATAACGCTACAATATGAAAAAATAACTATCATTGCATCATTTTAAATCTAATATAGTACAGTAAAAGACAATAACAATGAACCAGACTAAAGCTGACAGAGGCTTTTGTGGATAATCAGAGGAACATTCTGAAATCAGTGACTTTGAAATTGGCCATTTGGGATCATATTTTGGTTTTGTATCCTCTCTAATGAATGACTCATTGAGGAAAAACTACACAGATCAGCAACGCATCAAATGTTGGACCAGGTTTGTTAGTTATGGAACTACAGTACTGTTGCCATCAGTCCCTAATCAGAAAGACCAACTTCTTAATTTGCAGTTATACAAAATCTGCAAACATGTTTTAATACTTTCATTTCAGACTTCATTGTATTGATTTGATTTTCTTAGATTATAACAACAGTATATTGTATCTGCATACAGTGAATTACATTTTAAAAATTGTATAACTAACCATTTATCTCAATGTGTCAAGTGTAATTTTCCAGAATATTTAGTCTTATTTCAGGCAGTATAACCAACCATGTAAAGTGGTGCATACAATAATATGGATGTAAAAGAATGTCTCACACAACCCTCATTTACAACAAGTCAGAGATCAGAGCAGCTGTTTCCCAGGAGTTGTAGTTAGCTCTCTAGCAAGTGGTTATATTAATTATATTACCCATAAAATTACGTTTGTCTGGTGTGAAGTGTTCAGAAAGCAAAACAAAAAACAGGACTGTCTTCTTCAACTACTACTTCAACATCAGTCAGTCACTGTCATTTGATCTAATAACGTGTTATGTCTCTTCAGGTGGGCATTATCACCACAAAGAATAAAAGGGCTGAGAAGCTGACTGACCTGACAGGTGAGAATCACATACAATACGTTCCTAGTGTTAGACGCTACCCCTATGTGTATGTATGTGTATGTGGCAAGAAAAAGTGTGTGAACCTTTTAGAATGTTTTTCTGCATTAATTTATCATAAAATGTGAAGTGATCTTCATTTAAGTCGAGTATTGACAAATATTATGTGCCTAAAATCAACCAGTCAACCAGTTATTAATTCCAAGGGTTCACTTACTTTTTCCACTACCATTTTGAATGTTGAATGACTGTGTTCTATAAAGACATGAAAGGTCAGAATTTTTTTTGTTATTATTTTAGGCACATTATCTTTGCCAATACTATTGACTTAGATGAAGATCAGATCACATTTTATGACAAGTTAATGCAGAAAACCATGAAATTTCAAAAGGTTCACATACTACCAAGCAATGGAAACGGGCCTGAATATAAACTGTGTTTTAGTATGTTATAACCCCTCAATACCTCACCAAGCGTAATGACATATCCAACTCCACCATGTGAACTGAAAACATCGCACTTAGTAATCTAAGTGCGATGTTTGCAGTTCACTGGGGAAAGTACTATTACCCTATTTTTGTGTATTGCGGTTTTAATGCTTTGTTGCCTTTATGTAACTTTTTATTTTAAGACTAAATGTTCTTTATGGATTTTGACTCCTTACCTGACTCCAAAGGGGAGCTGCATAAGAATTCCTAGACTGTCTGTTTATTCATAAATGGCAAGTGTGTGTGTGTGTATGTGTATGTGTATATATATATATATCTTCTTAACGCATTTGCCTTTTCTTTTTAAAAAGCAGTGAAACACCACTATGTCCAGAGAAAGCCATACTCCACAGTGCTTTTTTGCCTCTGTCATCTGTTCAGTTACTCAGTTACCCTGTATGTCTTTAACACAATATACTGTGTTGTGGTTGTCTTGTTTGACCACCAGGAAATCCAAAGAAACACATTGCTGCTCTGAAGAAAGCAGTGGATACAGTGTGTTTAGGAGAACCATCCCTGTACAACTCTCTCAGCCTGGCCATACAGACCCTCAAGTAGGTTTTGTAGTGTTTTTGTTTCAGATTGGCTTCTGTGACATTACTAATTGTCATTCAGCTGATGTCTGTCTTTGAATAAAGGCACATGCCTGGACATACGAGCCGGGAGATCCTGATAATCCTCAGTAGCCTCACCACATGTGACCCATCCAACATCTATGAGATTATCAAGGTGAAGTTGTACCGTAATTCCTTACCAAGAGTTGCACAATCAGTGTCCACTTATTAACTGCTGAAAATTTCTGCCATTAGGTTTACAATAGTGACAAGAAAAAGTAAGTCAACTATTTGGAATGACCTGGTTTTTTCTATAATTTGATCACAAAATGTCATCCAATCTTCATCTTAGTCACAAATATAGACAACAGCAAGGAGCTTAAGTGGTTGGTTAAAGCTCCTTTGGCAGCATGAACCTTAAACAGGTGCTTCCTGTAGCTTAGGAATTCATTTTCCCCTCCACAATGGCAAGCTGTTTAGATCCAGAGGTACCAAAGCAGCCCCAGATCATGATGTTGGTATGTTCTTGCCTTTTTACACCATATGTAGTACTGCATATTCTTTCCAAAACAATTCAGCCTTAGTTTTGATCAAAACATTTTTCCAGCAGTGTTGGAGAGTATCAAGGTGGTCTTTGGCAAACTTTAGGAACACTGCTGTGTTTTTTTAACAGTATTAACCCTTTGTGAAACATGATGTTTTCCTGTTCCATGTTAAAGTGAAATCATCCCAGCAGTGAAGTACAGTGAAAGGAGCATCATGATTTAGACCTGCCTTGCCTCTGAGCCTGGACAGCTGCCATTATTGAGGGGGAAACTGAATATCCAGGTTTATTAGGGAATCCTACAGGATAATGTCAGGGTGGCTGTCCACCAGCTGAGACTCAATAGAAGCTAGGTAGGACAATGACCCTAAACATCGAAGTAAATCTACTACAGAATGGCTTCAGAGACAGAAAATCCACCTCTTGGAGTGGCCCAGCCAGAGCCCAGACCTCAACCCAATAGAGATGCTGAGGACTGAGCTCAGAGAGCCACTCAGTCCAGACATCCTAAAAATGTCTGTGCTGAAGCAGGTCTGTGAGGAAGAGTGGTCCAAAATTCCTCTTGTGACTTGGATGAAGATTGGATCACTTTAATGTAGAAAACCAGGCAATGGTTCACTTACTTTTTTCTGCCACTGTATATATCTGGCAGTTACTTTCAACTTAGTATAAATGCAACTCTTGCTCTCTCCCCACATTTCTGGTCTCCCTCTCAAAAGAACCTGTCATGTATAACTGTGTTCCTCCTCTGTCAGACCCTAAAGTCTCTAAAGATTCGGGTGTCAGTGATTGGCTTGTCAGCAGAGGTCCGGGTGTGTACGGTGTTGACCAGGGAGACTGGTGGGTTGTACCATGTTATCCTGGACGAGAGCCACTTCAAAGAGCTGCTGATGCTGCATATCAAACCTCCTCCGGCAAGCTCCTCATCTGAATGTTCCTTAATACGTATGGGTCAGTAAACTACCCTCTATATTTTATGGACAATGATACACCGGTCAACAGATCTGAGGATGTAGTTGAGAAGTTTAATAGGTTTTTTTGTGAATGTGGGTCCTGGTTTAGCAAGTAGCATTTGTACAGACGTCAATATAAATAACAATACAATTGAAAGGAATATGTGTTCTATGTTTCTGAAGCCAGTAGTTGAAAAGGAAATTATAGAGATAGTGAACAAATGTGGTAATAAATCGTCCAGTGATAGTGATGGTATCACTATGACAATGGTTAAATAGGCAATCGAGGGGATATGCAAACCATTAACCCATGTTTTTAACATGTTGTTTCGACTTGGGCAGTTCCCCAATAATATGAAAATAGCAAAGGTTATTCCATTGTATAAATCTGGGGATAAGCATCATATACAACTTTGCATTTGTGAGCAAAAATGTTTTTTCTTTAAAATCAACACTTATTCGTTTTTGTCTGTTAGGTGTCTTTCTTTTTTTTACTGTTTGTTGAACCCAAATGCCCAGCATGCTTATTTATGAGCAACTTTTTAAATGAACTGAGTCATTCTTTAGGTAAATACACTAAAGCTGAAGTCAGCTGAAGAACCTGCTCGGCCAGGACAAACAAAACAAATCAAGGGTTTGTTTGAATACTGTGCAAACAGCGCCACCCAGTGGAAGACAGAAAAGCAACAGCAACTGCTGAGGAAGACGACACTGTTTTCCTCTGTCATTCACTGCCTGCACATGATCCTACACATCCGAAATAAATTAGTCAGCAAACCTGAATTTTCCTCAATAAAATACACAGAGGACAAAGTGTTACTTTACACAGATATCCTACCTACCACTCCTGTTTTAATTTCACTTTGTGTTTTTTTTACGCTGTGTTCACGTGGCGTTCCAAACATAAGGTCAAACTGCCCCTCACCATTTAAGTATAAAACATCTGGGTTTCACAAACAGCACAAAATAGCAAAGAATATATCGATATTGGCAAGGGTTAGATATATTTTGGACGGGAAAGCACTACACGTTTTGTATTCTTCATTGATTTTACCATACTTTGAATATGGTGTTGAAAACTGGGGAAATACATACATAAGCTCACTTCAACCATTGTATATATTACAAAAAAGAGTGATAAGAATTGTGCATAAGATGGGGTATAGGGATCACACCAATGTAGCTTTCATACAGTCTAAATTGTTAAAATTTTTTGATTTAGTGGGATATAAGACTGCTGTGTTTTTGTATAAAGCCAGGAACAATTTATTACCTGGTGGAATTCAAAAACTATTTAATGAAAGGGAAGGGGGATACAATTTAAGGGGTCAGTTAAATTTAAAAATTCATGTTATACGTACAACCAAAAAAAGATTTTGTATTTCCATAAGTGGGGTAAAACTATGGAATAATTTAAGTGTAGACATAAAAAATAGTAATAGAATTGATGAGTTTAAACATAAATATAAAGGTATGTGTCAATCAAGATATATGCAAGAACAGGCTCAATGATTAATTACATGGACAATTGTGGGTGTGGTGTACACTTTGTATTACTTGTGTGGTGTAGAAGATAATTATTTTAAGAATGTAATTATGTAAGAATGTTAGCACTGTTATAATATAATAATCTTCCTACTCCATTCAAGCATGTACTAGGTATAAGCAAACTGATATTGGATTATGTGTAAAATTATGTGTGATGTCATATCAACTGTTTTTACATGCTTGAAAGAATAAATCAAAAAAAAAAGTATACAAATGCTAGGTAAAACAATGTGCTTCATGCAGTATGCTGTAACCTGATTTACACACATTACAGTGAGTACACCAAATTCTCACTCAGGGGAAAATGGTCATAACATCAGCCACAGATGCAGAATTCAGGAAATAATTCTCTACCCTGAAGCAAGGGCACACTAATGTCCCATAACTGCAACAAGCACCAGTTCTGCATGGTTCTTGGCCAGAAACTCCAGGCTGAGTAGAACAGACTGGATGGATTCAGTTAGCACATGGACTGTGTGCTGCGACCCAGGTGTAAAGTCGCTGAAGTGGTGCCCAGTGTATCCAACAAACTCTTAATATAACATCATCCTTAAACTTTGAATTTGGACACAATATCCTCCTTTCTTGGGAGGAAGGACTGGAGAAAATTTGAAATAATTCCTTTGTAAAATACAAAGGTTTTCCTCAAAGCATTTTTGAACATTTGGAACCTCCCCGTTTTACCTCTAACACCACTAGAAATATGTAGACTTAGACAGATAGGAAAAGCACAAACAGGTTTCTTTTTCCTTACATTCACAAAGACTATTCCTGCTCCTCATCAAAACATTACGATTATTCCTGACTATAAAAGCCTTTACTGAATATTTGTCTCAGACCTATTTAATTTGAGTCTTGTGTTTACACAGGTTTTCCTCAGCACACCGTTGCCTCTCTGACTGACCAGGATGCCAAGCCTTCATTCAGCATGTCGTAAGTAGGAAACACGGTAATGTAAAGCTTGTGGGCAGGACTGTGAGAAGCCACTGTGTACTAGAATGAACTGTCTTTGTAATGTGCTGTTCCTGTTGTGTGTTTCCCAGTCATCTAGACAGTAGCAGTGGTCCAGGTTTGTCTCTGGGAGGATACTTCTGTCCACAGTGTCATGCTAAGTATACAGAGCTTCCTGTGGAGTGTAAAGTCTGTGGTATGTTTAGATGGGAAGATTCATGCTTTATGTATGTGTGTGTCAATGTAAGATTAGATGAAATTTGAATTTTCTACCTGTGGCATCAAAAAGTATTGTAGTTCTTTTGCTTTTTTTTAAAGTACTGTGTTTACAAGCCAATAGAAGTATCATAGCTCTAACTGGTGTGTGTGTGTTTGATGCATTGTCTCCAAGGTTTGACTCTGGTGTCAGCCCCCCATCTTGCCAGATCCTTCCATCACCTCTTCCCACTCCAGCCCTTTGTAGAGAGTTCGGTGGAGGAGCTCCAAGGAAACAGGTGGCTTTGATACACTTTCACACTCATGCATACTCACACATGATACTGTCTAACTCTTCTGTGATTTGTTTTCAGGTTCTGTCAAGCCTGTCAAGGGGAACTGAAGGATAAAAATGTAAGCACAGTAACTGAGTGCTCTTTATGACAGATATTTTTTTCTTGAAAAGGGTACTCCCCCAATCTTAACCTGCAGTTTCGTTTACTTGTCACAGAAAATACTATTCAGGTTGTGAAAAACTAAATCAGAGAAAATAATCCTGATGGTGTACCGATGTATACTTCTTCAGGGGTACTGAGGGATAGTGCAGATAAAAAACACAAAATTATGATGAAATTTAAAAAGGTCCACCCACTACTGTTGTAGGTTTTTTTTTGATGTTCTGAACATTGCATGTGCTTCAGACATACTGGCTCTCAGAAATGGTTACAAACAGAAAGCTGGCAGCATTATAGATTTAAGTATACATGTTTTGCACGTATGAGTACAGCACAGTGCAGGCAAACAGGTTTTAATATCAGTATCTTATTCCAAACTATTATGGCTGATTACAGAAAAAGAAAGTCCTCAAGAGAGTCCTCATCTCCAACTTCCGAGTCTGAATACAGTCAATGCTTGAGTCAGAGTCCAAGTCTGAGTCATCAGTGCTCAAGTCCAAGTTGACTCGATTCTAACTTGAGTCTGAGCCCTAGATGCTAGTACTACAACACTGCTATCCATGTATTTGTTTTTACAAAAAATAACACAAATAAGATTAAAAATAATGTGTTGATCTTCAACATCTTTTTTTCTCATTTTTGGCATTTTATGCCATTTATAAGATCAAAAGAGTTGTAGGGATGTTAGGAGATGAGGGAAGGAAGAAAGCTAGTCTCTGGACAGATGTGAATTATGGATGATGCTGTTTGTGTTCTGTGCCTTGGTCGCCAGGATGCCCTGATCTATCTCATATCTATTGTCACAATTACCAGAAACATATTCAGCCTCATGACGGATGAGATGTGTGGAGATTGAAAGATGTGGGCATTTACTAGGTCAGGAAGGTTTAAGAGATGCTATCAAGTTGCTTTACAGCAACTGTAGGATCTAGTTCCTTTGCAGCGTCACCTGTACTCCAGACTAAAAGTCTTGATACCTGGATCTCTGCTGGTTCAATCTTGACAGTTCTTTTCAAAGTCTGTCTTATGCTTCCCCCAGCTACATGGAACTGGAGTAATAAATTACTGGTTGATTTTAAAAAAAGAAAACTGAAATATACTAAGTGTACAAATGATGTAATTTATTAACTTCAAGTTCAGTGATTCTGCCCTTATATATCTGCCTTCTGTCTTTGTTTCTAGATATTCACGTGTCCATCATGCCACAGTGTATTCTGTGTCGAGTGTGATCTCTTCGTCCATGATTCACTCCACTGCTGTCCCTGCTGTATTCACAGTCAGAACACCCCCTTGTAAGATCTGAAGTTGACAGGCTAACTGTCAGAGACTGAAACAAAGGTGGTCATTCATATGGTGATTACATGCACATTAAGCCCTCACTGGCTCATCATAGCAGTGTTTATTTTTGATAGGGCAGATATGATGCTTTGTACCAATGGTCATATTTCAGTGTTGCTGATGATTGACACCAAATATTGGGTAATTTCAGTTAATCCATATATTTGAAAGTAGAGGCAGGTGTATTTTTGCTTACGATGCCTCTGATTTGGGTCAAAGCTGGTGTCTGATCTGAGAACTGCATCTGAGCCACTTTACTGTATGTCAGTATAGTATAGTTTCTGTACATTGTTTATACACAGTTTTGTACTGCAGTTCTGATTGTGACGTGGCAGTTACAATAAAATGTTTGCTGTTCCTGTTAAAGTGCTTTAAGCAGTCAGAAACTAATGTATGATTTCTTAAGTGTATAGTGTATCATTTATCCACATGCTTAGATTTTCCTTTTTAAAATTCGTTTTTGTTAGGCCAAGTTTAGGTTTAGAGTCAAGAACACACGATTCTGTCTCGTACGGAATACGGTGTGTTATTGTTGATAAAAATGACACATTATGTACCTCCACAGTATGTTAGTGAAGTAGACCTACCCTCAGATCTGCTGAAGATGACGAAATCGTAAGAAGTCGTAATTTCCGTCTCTGTTCCGCTTGTGCGGAAGCTCGTGGCGACAGTGATCAGAGTCCAGTTTCTAGTTTAGTGACAATGTCCCGCACTCTGAACGGAATTGTAGCGGTGTGTCCTGATCTTGGTATTGGGAAAAAAGGAGATCTGCCCTGGCATCCTGTGAAACTCATGTAAGTCACGTCGGCAGACGGTGTGGTAACTGTTGATGTGAAAGTAATGGCTGTAACGCATGAAAGCATCAGTAACTGAGATGTAGGCCTCAAGGTTAACATAGTTAAATATTAGCGACAGTGACCTATGAATGTATTGCGTTTGTTTACTATTGAATGTGTGAGGCGTGTTCTTTTTATATTGAAAAGAGAAGACTAATAAGGATATATATTTCACAGTGTGAAATTTATTATGCATTAACGTATCCAAATTAGCATGTGCACGTGGGCCTTTACTGTTTAGGATAAAACAGAAAAGACTGACCTCAACTTAGTGGTATACAATATTTGTATGAAAAGGTACTACTATCTAATTGGTCCAAAACTGTTGGGGGGAAGTTGTGGTTTAGACTTAACTCTCCCGTTATTGGTCCTTCAGTCCGTCCGTCCTCCAATCGTCCTCTCTGCTCCAATGGTCGTGGACAGTGCCCTAAAAAGGGGAGGAATATCTATACTGTCTTAATTTCTACATAAAAACTTCTTCCTTTGGTTTCAACTAACTGCTCCGCATTGCTTTCCGTTTCACTTAATTAAAACTGTTCTGCCTGTGTGTGTGTGCGCATAACTGTTCTCCCTTTGAAGCTTTCTCATCTACGTCTAATCTATTTTAATAAACTTGGAGTCTTACCGTACCAAGTCTCCTTTAGGTCCACCGGTCCAGAGGAACGATAAGTAACTATGAGCTCCCTTAGCTACAGCCATAAATCTAATGAAATTCAGTAATTTAGTGGACAAGACTCATGATGTTGCATTAGTGTTTCAGTGACTCACACAGTAAATATTTGACCAGTGGTTCAGTGAACACATACAGTGGGTACAGAAAGTATTCACACCCCCTTAAATTTTTCACTCTGTTATATTGCAGCCATATGCTAAAATCATTTAAGTTCATTTTTTTTCCTCATTAATGTACACACAGCACCCCATATTGACAGAAAAACACAGAATGTTTGACATTTTTGCAGATTTATTAAAAAAGAAAAACTGAAATATCACATGGTCATAAGTATTCAGACCCTTTGCTCAGTATTTAGTAGAAGCACCCTTTTGAGCTAATACAGCCATGAGTCTTTTTGGGAATGATGCAACAAGTTTTTCACACCTGCATTTGGGGATCCTCTGCCATTCCTCCTTGCAGATCCTCTCCAGTT